GGTGCGTTTCAGCAACACATGCAGGAGAGCGGCACTGTCTTCAATGTTGTTCCAGCAGATGGGCATCATCAAATCGGTGCCATAGAAAGGAAGAATGCAGTGTTTCGCTCCATTGTGGAGAGACTTATAGACCAAAACAGCGTGCACAACAAGGACCAGCTCGACCTTGTCTTGAGTGCTGCGATCTGGTCTATCAACAGCAGCATCCACACTAGAGGCAGAAGCAGCATGCAAGCCGTTTTCGGCAAGCTTCCAAGGTTTCCTGGAGATTTGTTCTCAGACAGCGCAGCGCTCGCGACCTCTGATTATCATAATATGCTGACAGAGCAGCTCAGGACTCAGGCGTGCCAGGCCGTGAATGAAATGTCCGCCTCCTCCGTGATCAGGCGGGCGCTCTTACGAAAGACGGCGACTTCACGCGCCAAGGTCGATGAGCTGTTGCCCGGTGCGCTTGTTGCGTATTGGCGATGGAATCTCAAAGCTCGGGGTCGCAAACGTGGCGGCTACATCCTTGGAAGGCTTGTGGTGAAAGATGATAAGAACGCTTGGGTTCAGAGCGGTGGCTCCTTGGTGCAGGTGACACATGAGCAGCTGAGGCCCGCAATTGGGATTGAAACGTGGACTCCCAGCCCTTCGGACATCAAGCTGTTGAAACAAGGCGATAAGCTTTTGAGAAATGGCCTATGGGACGATGGTCGTGAACAAGGACCTCCTCCTGAAGAGCCCCTCGAACCTGCAATACACGATCCTCAACAGCACGCTGGAAATGATGACGCTCAAGTCGGCCCACTTCGTGACGATGGTGCCGAAGAACAACGTTATCAACTACCAGTTCTTTCTCGTGACACAGCAGGTGAAGCGCAACCACTTCCTCTTCAACAGCAGGGCGCACCACAACAACTACCCTCAGATGCTCTCGTTCATGCACGTGGAGAGCAGGGGCCAGCAGCACAGAACATCCACGTGTTCTCTCCGAGGTACCAGCAACAGAACATCTGGCAATACGGCGACGGACCTGAGGCCCGACCTGGTCGAGCAAGATCTAGGTCAAGAGGTCAGAGTCAGGCGCAAACGGCACCACGAACACTTCAACTACTACCTCCTACTCCGAGTCAACCTTCAACTCCAAGACCGCCTCAGACACCAAGGAGAAGAGCTTCTCTTCGACAAGGACAGATCGCTGACAGAAGCGGAGGTGCTGAGCAACCAGCTTCAGCGCCAGCCACTCCTCGAGAGCCAGAACCTTCACAGCTACCTCCGGTACCTTCTCCACTACCACAAACTCCCGTTCCTTCTGAGTTTCCTTTTTCACCCGACATTCCCTTTTCCGCGGATGTCATGGGATCTGCAGAGTATGGAGAGGCTCCTCTTGACGACGAGCCCGAAGCAGGTGCAACAACAACCGTGCCTGCCACTGCGACTGTTGAGACAGAGGCTGTGACACCTTCACCAGCTTCCGTCAGGATGACTGATGACGGGCCAGTGCCACAGCTACCCGCAAAGCGACCACATGCTGCACTACAAGCTAAAGCTAAGAAGAAGAAGGCCACTCCAGTCCACTCCGTCCTGCTGACACACGTTGTGCTCGACGAGCTCTACGAGGCCTACAAGCTAGAAGACGGGTGGGACGGGTCACCAGACTACAGACTGCGCTCTCCGTGCACAGCTTTTCGCTGCTGCGCCGCCAAGCTCGAGGACGCCGAGGTCTCCTCCGACTCCTCTGACTCTGCAAGCGAGAGAGACCCACAGTCTTCACTAACCCGACAAGAGCGCAAGGCCATCGACCGAGAGATTCCCTGGAGGACACTGATGAAGGAGTACCCCAGCGACATCATCAGCCTCTATGTGAAGGCCAATCAGAAGGAGTATGACTCCTGGATGTCTTGGAACTCCATCAAGGCTCTCTCCAAGGACGAAGCAAAGCGAATCCTCGATGATCCAATCCTCAGGAAAAGGGTCATGCCGTCGGTCGAGAAATGCCTACAGGGACAAAAATCGCGGTGCAGGACCTGAAGTTCGTGCCAAGTGTCGGACTGTGATACAAGGGTGTCACGACCCTGACTTAGGTCTCTTGGACAGATCAAGTCCTACGCCGACACGCATAGCAGAGCTCTTGATCTACGAGATCGCCTGTTCCGGCTACAACAGATGCTTTCTCAAGAACAAGAAGGCCTGGAAGCTCTGGTCTGGCGACGTCGCTACAGCCTTTCTACAAGGCGTTCCTGAAGAAAGGGATCTTCCGATCTTCATGCGACCACCTCGCGACGGGATACAAGGTCTGGCAAACACGTTTCCATGCGACCTGTACCAGATCATCGGCAATCTTTAAGGCCTTTGCAATGCTCCGAGGACCTGGATAAACCACATTGTCCGGAAGCTTCGAGCAGCCAAGTTCTTAAGGCACCGCCTGGACCACACCGTCTACTACAAGCTCGACCAGGCCGGCGAGTTGTTGATTGTCCTCCTGTTCCACGTCGACGACTTTCTTGCGGCGTTTCGCGAGGACTACCAGTTCAGCGAGCTGCAGGACATGTTCACTTGGGGGCAAACAAACCTTTTGGACGACGGCGACTTCGTCTTCAAAGGCAAGGAGGTCAGCCTTAAACAGGTGAACGGTGAGTACGTGATCCACGTCACCCAGAAATCCTTCATCAACGAGCTCGTGACCGGCAAGCTCAAGCTCGGCAGGTCTACAGAGACGGGTCCCTTGACCGTCGAGGAAATGAAAGAATACCGCAGCTGTGCCGGGAGTCTTCAATGGCTGGCCGGAAGTACGAGACCAGACATTGCAGCCACAGTGTCTCTGAGCAACCACGGCCAAAACAGCAGCCCCGGCCAGCTCAAGGTCCTCTACGAGTGCATCGACTACGTCAAGAACAGCCCGGACCATGGACTGGTCTTTCAGGGAGTGGCAATTAACTATGCCGCCACCGTGATCGGCTACGCGGACTCTTCGTGGGCGAACGCTCCTGGAGGCAAAAGCCAAATGGGGGTGATCGTAATGATCACCGGACCTGAGTGTCAGGACCAAGTTTCGAAAGCTACAGTCCTCGACTGGCGAAGTTCTCGGAGTCCCAGAGTTACAAGGTCAACTCTGGCTAGCGAGGCCAACGCCATGGACGATGGCGTGGACAGGTCCACCTTCCTCAACGTCTTCCTCTCCGAGTTCCTCCAGAAGCCTGACAACAGCGCGCCGCTTGACAAAGGACTACTGAAACAGCTCCAGGTGACTGACTGTAAATCCCTGTTCGACGCTGTTATCAGCGAGAACCCTTCTCTAGAAAAAAACAGAACTCTGATCTCGATCAGATCGATACAGGACTACATCAGTCCGAGCCAGGTCCACTGGGTGCCAAGCGGGCTCATGTTTGCAGATGTGCTCACGAAGCATTCGACACAGTTGCGGGATGAGTTCTTGCTCTGGATGCGCAGCCCATACGTACAGCTGAGGGAGGAAGATGAACACCAAAAGAAAGTGTGAATTTCAGTCTTGTTGTGCCTTAGCAATTGGTGTTCACTGCTCTCTGTGTGCGCTGCCATCAGCGGATCCCTTGAGTCTTAGTACCTTTTAGCTGTGAGTGCCGTCCAGCAAAACATGTGCGTTTGAGCGTCTGCAGAGTGAAGCCGCTTTCTGCATCGAAGCACTGTTGCCACTAGAGCTTGAACATCGGTGTCCTTGTCAAAGATCCCCAGCACGGTAGACTCCTATCAGAACGGTTGTCTCAACGTTAGCCATCAGAATCCTTGCTTGCCGGGTTTTTGGCGGTCAATGTGTTTGCATCGAAATTCGGCATAGAGCTTGAGGGAGGTGTGAGATTGGATTCGGAAGGTGATTTTTCAGATGTTCTGGGTCCAGCAGCGGCATCGGCCACAACATGGTCGTGACGATTGTAGAGTTGTACCGTTGGCAACAGATAAAGCTTGAAGGTTGGTTGCTTGGTGAACGTTTGTGAATCCAGGTGCAATGCGCGGGTCCTCGGAAAGCAGGTGCCGCTGATTCCCTTGTTCAAGTGCCTAAGAGTGATTAATCGTGTGACCCTCTCGGCCTGTCTGACGACAACCCCCTCTCACTGCATGCCTAGCACCGTGCCGAAGTACCATGGTTCTTGGACCCTGGCCCGAAATCTACCCTGGAGTCTCGAGTGTCAAGATTCCAAAAGGCAGATCTCGTCGTAGTAGTTTCCTTAGCACTGCAAGGTGTGGTTGCTCCTTGCTTGCTTTACGACGCCGGGCACCGTCCGCCCTGCTGCATGCAGAAGGGGCAAGGGGTGGCTTAGTAATATACGGCGGAGCTACTGCTCAGTGCTGACAATCCTTTGCCACAGTCGATGTTTCCCCACCCCCTGGACGTCTTTCACGCCGAAGGTTGCAGAAGACATCCGCCAAGCTCTGGCTTCCGACGATGCTTGTGACGCAGACTCTTGTGGGCTAGGCTTGCTGCAGGCCAGAGTGCTACGGCGCTTGAGGAAATGCATCTGAACGTTCTGTCCATGGTCTTATCGGATGCGGGCTTTCAATACGGTTCTGGCATGGCAGAATCTATGCCATTGTGACTTTGCAGCTGGTGTTGTTCGGATTCCTCCGATGTCCCGGCTTTCTCTGTGCAACGTCAAGCAGGCCCAGATTTATGAGTTCGATTGCTGATATTCCCGCCGCTGACAGGTAATCATTACTTCCAAAGTTTCCAAGCCTCACCACAGCATGTCGACAATCTGTCAGAATCTCGATATAGCCCGAATACACTTGAATCTGCCAGGACAGAAAACGTTGGGAAGATCATGTTGCCATGTCTCCAAAGCAACAGCTCCCACCGACCGGCTTCGTGCAGGTTGGCGCGAGCCAGGAGGCTCGAAGCATGCAGCCATTTGGAACCTTGCGGAAACTTCGAAGCACGGCGCGAGCTCGTCCTTGTAGATGCTGTAGATGAAAGGGTGTGAGAACAAATAAAAGGGATGCTGGTGATGGTCTCTTTTCCTAAATTTCAGACGAGTATGAGTAGCAGCTTGGTCCATCTTGTGGCGGAGTTTGCGCCAATATACCGCAACATACTCTTTGTCTGGCACAGGAGCAGCAGGGTTTCATGCCGCATGCGAACAGAACCTACTTAGCCAACCGTCAAGACAGAAGCTAGCAATTCGACTTTTAGAGGAGCAGGTGCACCTTACGGTAGTCAACGTAGCGTTCGCCCAATGACATACAAGATGTAGCAGGTGGAGGGCAGCTCATACTGGCAAGGCCCCGCCTGTGCAGCACGGGACAGCATGCAGGGGAAGTAGTCTTTGTTTTGCGAGGGGCCTGTGTGCTTTCAACGAAGGCCTGTACATGCCGGACAGAGAGAGCCATGCAGGTGTGCGCGAAACCGGCACCACGTGCTTCTTCAGCAACTGTCCGGGCAGAGTCTGCGCCTGCAAGTTATACGAAGCTGGGTGGGGAGCTTGAGCTCTTGAATGGGGACCCCGACTGAGCCTCTAAACGCAAGAAGCCGCGCACTGAGGACTGAATCCCGTGGACTGCCATCACTGGCGATGTGTTTGCCAGGAGGCGAGGGGACAGAAATGGGTCACACCACCAACCTGCTGCCTTTCATGGTGTGCTTTGCAGGGCAACAAATACAACCCAGCCGATGGAGGGGCCTGCGTGGCAAACGACCCTTGGCCTGCACTGCGCGCAAAAGGCAGCGGCTTCAAGTTGGGGCCTCCGGGCTTTTTGACATCATGACCAGAATCTTGCATGGCTTGTTGAAGATATGCGCGCAAAGCTTGCTGCACATTGCGTTCTGCAAGGATTCTCCTTCAGCCCGGCGGATGACAGGCAAGACCTGCTGGCTGACAAGCTGCCCCGTGGAGTACGGATCCACGCAGCAACTCTGCAGAAGTAATTAGGCAGCCAGGGCTCCCACGCTTGCGCGCAAATCATTTATCGAGACTTCCTTTGTATTCTTTGTATTCCTGTGTGTGCTCTCATTCACAGGTTTGAGTCGCCAGCTACCGCGGTCATGATGTTTGTCAGGACAGTGTCAAAGTTCTGATTTCCCGGTTGCTGTTGTGCTTTCTTCTGAGATGTGTTTCTGCCTCCAGTTTCGAAGCCGACCGGCCCTTTGCAGTTGCACTGTGCAGAACACCCAAGGTGTGTCGGACACGAATGCGTTTGCGATGTCGGGCTCGAATTCCAGAAGGCCAAAGGCCAGCCTGCATCCATCGGCAGTGTCCACTGTTCTTTAAACTGCGTCCTGCATTCCGCATGCTGTCCTCAGTGCAAGTCTGGCCCGAGACCGGTCAGAAACTTCCGAGAACCATGCAAATTGCCAGTGTTCTCGGCTTGGTCGGTTCGGCGAAGGCGGGTCATCGCGCATAGCCGTCAGTGGTATTGCTGCAGCCGATGCCATTACATGTAAACCATCGGGTTCCTGGCCCAACTCGGCGTGACTGCTGCCTCTTAGAAAATACACCAGCGTGCTGAACCAGAGTACATTGAGACTTGCAGTGATGGCAGGAGATGCCGCGAGCACCCCGCGAGCAATCTGATGGGCTGCCGCGGCTTTTGGGGCGAGACATGCCAGGCCGTCGTAGGGCATTTGACGATGTGGCAGGTGTGAGCTGCTCGACAGGCTGTGTGTCATCAGTGGGCAGCATAGGGGCCAGACTGATACTTTCACGGGTTTGCAGAGAGGGCCGCCACTCTCCTCAGCCCTGAGGTCTCTCTTTGAGACGGAACGGCAATTTCAGCGAATGCTTGAGCTAGCTCTCGCTGGCTTCAAATGAAGGTGGATCTAGTCATAGATGGACCCTTCCTCCAAACTCGGAACCTGACCCTGAACCAGTAGGACTGAGAAGGTCCTGCGCAGCGGAAGCTTCCAAAGCACGACCTTCAGGTGTGGACGGCGATTTTGAGTGGTGCATTTTTGATTTCAGAGTTTGATGATTCACGGATCCGGGTACAGCCTGGCTCGATAAGCATTTCGGCGGGGTGGGAAGATTGAGATCTCGTCGCAACATAGATCTATGAAGAGGGTCTGGCTTAAAGTTTGACGTGCGACAGTGCCTTGTGAATCGTTGATCCATGCCTCACCAGGTGAGGTGGGACGACTTCAAGCCAGATTACCAACGGAAACTCGCCGTTTATGGCTTTATGGCTGCGCAAGAGTTCTGTAGCACCTGGCAGATCTCCTTTCATCGCTAAGTCTGGGCATGGAGACTCAGGAAGTTGGGCGCCGGTGCCTATGGCGGCGTGTACCAAGTGCGGGGCAGCCCGGACAAGGTGGTGTGGCTCGACTCTGCGGCTGGGGGGGGGGCGGAACTCTTAAGTCTCTTACAGAAAGGTCCCACTACGAGCGGAATTAACCAGAGGTATCCAGAAGAGGTTTCATGAATGCCCCGCAGCCTAGGAAGCTCTTCAGCCATTCCGATTGGAGCGACGTAGTGCGGGAGTCGCGCTTTGCACAGACGATGAAGGCACGATACCCACGGCACTTCGTCGACTGCGTGGGCATGGGCAGTGCGCCAGACGATGGTCAGATCTTTGCCGTCTTCGAGCGTGCGACCGGCATGAGCCTTGCTGCCGCTGCTACTCGTTTTCACGTCCCACAGGGCATCGGGCACGTCAGCCAAGCACTGGACATCTTGGATCAGCTGCTGACAGTCATGTTAGACATGATGAAGCCCGATAGCCAAGGAGCCTTGCATCAATTTATGCGCTTGGCGGTTCTGAGAGGGTCGTGAATGGTTTATGGAGGGATCGCATTTTCAAGAGACTTTTCTGGTTCCTTTGGTGCAAGGATGCCTTCTTTTCCATAGAAGCCCTGGCTTGTGTCCAGGCAAGTATCACTTCCACCTGGATTTGAAGCCGGTGGACTCCTCAGTTGGCATCATGGTATCGTATGCCTCCTAGGCCAAGGGATGGGGAGGAGTGGTCGTGGCCTGAGGACAACATCATGATTTCCACCAACGCCGATGGCAAGGGTCACGATGTCAATGTCACGTTGATCGACTACGGCATCGTGAAGACATGTGAGCATGGAGACAGGAACCTAGAGGAGACCCAATGCCAGCCACTAAGCAAGAAACACAACCGTGGCAGCAGAAAAGAAGGAACTCATGGTAGACCTCACCACTCCCTGAACACTTTCTGTGCACTCGAGCAGGACTCTGCGCAGCAGCTCTTCCGCTGGTTTGGATGGGAGCTGCTCTGGGCGCCTGGGCGCGTTAGAACCCGAAGGGATGGGGTTGGTCTTGAGGAGGCAAGGCCCTGCAGCCCTGCCTCGTGACCGAAGCAGCTAGCAGGCATTCGACTGGGGCTTGGCCTACCCTTTGCAGTTACGACGCTTGAACAGATGCACTTCGCCTTCTTGGCCTGTTCAGGTGCTGTCTTCGGAGGCCTTCCACGTCGAGGCGGAGACGAACCCCTGGGAGCAGCTGCCAGACGCAGGGTTTGCAATGGCAGAGCATCAGCAGAGGGAAAAGCTGCATCCAGTAGCATTGTGTTTCACATTGCTACGGTTTTGACCTTTAAGACTCAGTGTCTCATGCGCACTGCCCGTGCGGTCATCTTGGTAGCTTGGCAAAACTAGGGTACTTGTGGTGTTGCGTGGGCTGGGGCCTTGCGCTTGAATCGTCATCTGCGTCAGGCACGATTGGGAGCAGGGAACCCGGAGGAGAGCCCCGTAAAGAGATACCAGCCAGTCTCTATCTTCCAATGCTTTTGTGTATGGAAACAGGCGCGTTTGCGAGTGCTGCCAAGCACAAATAATGTTGTGTTGCACAAATAATGTTGTGTTGCTTTACCATCCGTCGTCGTATTCCCTCCGCAAATGATCATAGTTTAAGTTCAGTTGAGATGAACAGTTTCTGCACTGTTCCGTAGGAAGCAGAAAAAGCTTAACACAACTCCTGTGTACACAGCTCGCCAATGTCTCTCCGAGCAAGGCAATCCCACTTGTTGGTCGTTCTGCTCTTGGAGCTTTTCGTCCCCGAAGGTTGTCTAAAAGCCGTACCTGTATGAGCTGTATCACTTTTACGTGCAAAGCCAGATATCTCAACAGCAAGCCCGGACAGCTAAGGAGGGATTCCGGCCCTTCTTCCGCCGTTCTGACCTTCGCCCGGCTGCCTACAGGTCGCTGGAGGGGCTGGGCTTGGCTGGAGGGCTGTCCCTAATTGTTGAACGAGGGAAGATTTGGGTTTAGGCTGAGGGCTTGGGTCTTGGGTCAGTTTGGATTTAGGATCGATCTGGGCAGCTGTTAGGAGTCGTTGAGGGGTGCGGTTGGGTGGGGTGCATGGAGGAGGGGCAACACGGGGAAATGACGACCCAGAAGATGAGGCTGGCCATTTCGAATCTATGGCGAAGGCTCCTCGTACTTTTACCCATCATCATTCCTGACCTTTCACCCCTCCAGGGAACAGCAGCTGTAAGGAATTGCTGCGTTGCTGTGGATCTTATTGCTATTGTCGGATATTGTCGTTGTCTTTTCCTGCTGTTTCCGGTCAGCCTCAACGATTCCCGCTTGGCTGTTCGTTTTCTTGCCATTCTGGATCAATGTAATGTTTCATTGCCATGAATGTTTCATGGTTGTCAGTGTTCGTGGCCATGATGGTAAGGCTCACCGTCGCCATCGACGGCACGCTAGCGAAACTAGAACCCTACTCAGACCTACTCACTGCAATTAAGGCCGACAGCTGTAGCAACTCTGTCATTTCCTGCCCGGCGCAGCCCTCATAAGGACGGAGCAGCTGAGTCCACAACTTCTCCAGGAGCGGGCTTCAAGATCGGTAGCATTGATGCAAGCCTAAACCCACGATTTCCTTAGCACGCTCGAACGAAGGAGCTAAGGTGTAGGCATCACGAAGTTGTTGCAGGCCTCCCCGTGACCGCAAACCTGAACGTTCAAAGCAGGACTCCCTCCAAGATGGCTTCTTCGACGAGGTCGGAAGCGGAATTTATTGCTGTTGAGCGACAGAGCCCGAAGCTTTTCATGTCCAGAGCTCGAAGGCTCGAAGCTGAGAGTCCGGAAGGTCCTGTCGCCAGCTTTTCGCCGGCAGTGGCGCTGCTCAGAGGAGGATTGTGGTTTGTTTTTGGGCATGGGGGCTCCTTGGACTTGTAGGTGTGTTTGACAAGTTGAGCCTATGGCTTCAGGGCTTCTTAAGGACGAGTTGTTATCTGAGGGACGGCCGCCATCATCACCACGCTCCCTCCAATCACTTTCGGCGCCGCTGCTACCAACCCACGTAGAAGCCCCGCTGTACGCGATATTCTGGAGAGGCGAGGCGGCAGCTCGGTCGCCTCCTCGGGGATGCTTTTCATGGTGTGGCCCAGGCCAGCGACAAGGCGCAGGGAGGGGAGGCCATGGAGGCCGAAGGCGGCTCGGGAATTGGACCAGCTCTCCAGTCTTGAGGCCTACACTCCGGACTTCGAGAAGCTGCGCTCCGACGTCCGATCGCTCCGTGCGCTCTCTTCGGAGTGATCGCTGAATTTGCCCGACGGGCAGGAATTCCTACGGGCAACAAGTGCCCCTGACAAACTGGTAGCTCTGGGCTTTGGAAAATTAAAAGCGACATGTTACTTCGATGTGGCTGGTCCAGTTCAAGAGCTGCCGTGTAGATGTACAGCTGTCGATTCTTAGGAATGCAGAGGGTGCAGCCGCAGGATCGGCGCTGTATAGATCAATCTTGTCGGTCCGTGGCATGCACCATGACACCCGCTGCGCAACGTCGTGAGCGGCGGAGTTCTGAGTGTGAATACAGAAGGATACAAGGTGACCGGTTCTGTCCTTGAACACCAGGTGCTTCGACAGTCTGCACCCCTTGTAAAGACCCGTGCAGGTGCTTGCGTCACGGCACCGGCAGCATCTCCAGCAGGACTGCGCAAGTCCAGGTTTGTCTTGAGTCTTGATGTTGATGCGTGGAGAGCCATTGCGGTTGAGTCCTTTGAGTCGAAGCTTTTGAGAAGCTCAAGGCCTCGCAAACCGGAGCAGGCTTCGGTCCTTCATGGACTTCGCGTTTGCCCGGCCCTTGCTAATCCCTGGACTTGGGGCATGCCTGGCCTGGATAGTGCCTTTGTGCGCGGGCTCCTTGCGATTAGCCTGCCAACAAGCAAGATCCGGCTGCAAGTTCGATAAGATCTGCTGCTTTCTCTATGCTCTTCTGGTTGGCATGGGGGTTAGCAAACAGTTGTCAGCAGCTTGGACTTCGAACACCGTGGCAGCATCGATGATATCCATGTTGGCCGTGGTATTTCTAACATTCCGCTGTGTTGCCCGGCAGAGAAAGGCGTGGTCTACGCAATTCGCCAAAAGCCGCATGCCCCGTTCGATGTTCGACAGCCCCAGTAGCCCGTCCCGCCGCCGCATGCCCCAGCCAACTCCGAGAAGAAAGGCGCTGACGGAGGTGGCTGAGGCTGCTAACCAGGTCCGGCGGCGGTCCGTCACCGAGGCCTTGGACAAACCGCTTGGCATCCTGGGCACCCGCTTCGAGGACGCGATGGCAGAGCCCAAAGTCATGCCCCATGTCGATCATGTACACATGAAGCAGCATGACTTTGTTTGGGTTCAGCTCTTCGTGGGTGCACCCTTGATGTGTGGCATCCTCTTTGGCCTTGTGCATACCTTCGTGCGTGGTTGGCTGCAGCGCAGGCGTTGGCTCACTCCCACAGCCGTGGATCCCAAGCGTGTTGCCGGCCAGATCTTGCTGGAGACGCCTTCTTTGGCCATGTTCTTCAAATGCAAACGTCAAGTCGATGGGCGTGAAACAGCCTTGTTCGCCTTTACTGACATCATCCTCATCAACCATCGAAATGAGCTGTGGTATCCTCAGCTCATTACTTTTGACGTGGACCCGAAGACTAAAACTCTGGTGAAAGCTGCCGTGGATGGTGACGAGGTCACGGCTTCGGATGCCATCACTTTAACCTACTTCATGACGGCTGGTGGCACCCATCCAAGATTGCACGCTTATGCGAACTTCGGCGTCGACACAGAGGCGACTGGCGGATCCCTCCGCCAAGGCAGCATCATCACGGTGATTTTCAACCACTTTGGCTTCGAAGGGACCGGACGCCTTTTCGAGAACTTGCATCGCTGGGGCTTGATCAACACGCGTCTTCTCGCTGCAGAAGCCGTGGGTGCCAACGCGACACGGCCAATCCCGGCACACGGTCACATTCACCAGTTGGAGGACTGCTCACGTGCTGTTCGGTTTGCGGCGTCCGTGCGTGCAGCCTTCTTTCGAGCATTTCGTGATGCGGCCTCGAAAGAGCCACATGCTTATGCCTTGGTGAATCCGGAGGCTCTCTTTGTTGGATCCGTGATGCATTCCTTAGACCACTTCAGTGTGACAAGTGCCGTGGCGGACATACTCTGGTTTGACGTGAACTCACCAAAGTTCGGGATCATGGCTCAAGTCTGCAGAGTGGTTCGGGGCGGTGTGTCTTCCGAGCTACCTGGACTCCTGATCAACACGAAGTTTCGGTGGAGCAGAGAGCCCTTTCACCAAGCAGTCTACAAGCATGCTTCTGGCATTGATGCCGGGCTGGCCAACGAGATGGAAATTTGTATTTGCAGGTAGCTTTGATTGATCAGTCTTTCTGCAGGGCGATGGCTGATGGTTTTTTTTTTTTTTGCGATATCGGCGATATCATCGTGTTGGACGCGATTCTAATGTACTCTCAGCATAGCCTACTTCTCCCGTTTGATTTTCCCACGGAGTGGGTAGCGAGGGTACGTGGATGCTCTCTCCTTGATGACTAGTGTGGAGCATGGTCTCTCAGGAGTTCCTTCCGTCGGTAGCATGTCGGCACGGGTTCGACAACAAGATATTTTGACGTAGAAGGTCTTGCTTCTTGCTCGGTCGGCTCCGCTGACGAACTCAACTGTCTTTTTAACACTCTGAAAACTCATCCCTCGAAGCGGGATTTTCGTTCCACATTTGCCAGGTGATTTTCAAGGAATAACTCGTCCCCCAAGGGTGACGAGACCCTCTCACATGGCTACGCGCATGTCCGCTACAGGCGAAAAGTTTTGGCACTTCTTCACGGCAAGGCTGCATAAGCGTGCGTGAAGTACGGGTTTTGGGACACGGGCGTACCTCAGACTGAATTCCAGCCACAGCCACAGCCCAGCATTCGCTAGGAGCTCCATAAGCCTGGGCCTCAGCCTCACGAACTCCGAGTGTCAACTGTGGAGACCCTCTGCAAAAAGTCGTGACTGCAGCCGTGTCCTCTTAAGTGCTTGTCGCCGTGCCTTCCACCATCCCGGGACGGTAGACGGCTATGAAAGTCGACTCGTTTGCGCTCGCTGGGGTCTACGGGATGTTCTTGTCCCTGCTGATCCTTACAGGAAACTTTACGGAGACTTTTCTTGTCACCTTCTGCCGAGAACCTAAGTACACCCTGGGGAACTTTGGTCAAGTGTGGGCCAACTGGCACGCGGTCGGCTGTGCCTATCTTGGGCTGACAAACTTGTGGGCCTTTCTCAAGGCTGAGAGTCTTCAAAGTCCGACGAAGCAGCTGGTTGCTTTCAACTCGGCCTTCATCTACGGCACTTGGGCCCTTCAGAACACGTACTACTGCATCTTCCGCGCAGACCTCTTCACGCCGTGGATGTGGCTAAATGCAGGAGGATGTGCAGCCGCTGCTGCTTTGAGCCTCCATGATGGGGTGGCTGAGAAGACAGCTGAAGACCATGAGAAGACATACCAACCCCTGTCTTGAAATAAGACCAAGCGTAACAGTGGCTGGAGCTGGTGAGATTGATTGTTACAGTGTTTTGGTCCAGACGCTGCTGTTGAAAACTAGCAGCGAGCCACCAGGCCGAAGTCAAAAGCAGCGGGCTTCGGGTTTGGTTAACCCTTCAAACCGTTGCAGTTGGACCGCGGCGCGTACACGCAACTGCATTTTCCTGTGCTTTGAAGCCTTTGGAGTCGGTATTTACGAGGTTTCTGTTGTATCGGGTCGTGCGGATTTTCAACCATTTTCTGGGCCTTTCCGAACTGATGTTTTTTTTTCCGTACTTTTCAGGCTTTGACGGTTTCCTGTAGTTTTCACCTCTCGGACTCTGCTGTTTCGGGGTGTTCGGACTTTTTTCAGCCTCCGACGGGTGGTAACGGGGGGTGGGGGGCAGGGGGAGGGGGGGGTGACAGGATAACAATCATGCTACGCCGTCCTGGTTCCAAGCCTTCACTTTGTTTCAGTAACGTTCAATCCGAAAGCACTGGCCTTCGAGGCATGGCTCCAAGAGGAGCGTTGGGACAAGCCAAAAAGTTTGGGCTTGGTCCCCCAAGCCCAAACTGTTCGTCTTGTCCCGTGCAACGCCCCTCTTGGAGCCTTGGAGCAGTCTGCTCGGCTTGATGCTCCAGCATTCAATCTGTAGGCGTCTTCGTTGTTGCAGGAGGCCGTATTGAACATGTAGGTTCAGCCAAGCAACCCATCTGAAGTGCCCTAAGAGACCCCAGCAGTTGTACTCTGTAGGGCAGCGTCCAATCTGAAGTATGTCTTGTGCCCAACTGCAGCCTGAGGCGGCAAGTGCAGAGCAAGGTGTGGAGCAGTCGGAGCCAGGTCGGACAGCTAACGCAATTACTCTTTGGGAGTAGCTGGCCCCAGAGCTGTCATGAGTTCTGGTGGCATGGGAGTGAAGTCGAGGTTGCGACTTTGCAATTGCTGGGAACAATAACGGTAAGCCTCCTGGGTGTATGTTGCTGGAATTTGGCTTGGTTTTGGCTTATGAGAGTCACGGGGCATGTGCAACTTGTAGCTCGCAGGCAAGACTCAGAGAAGACAAGCCAATGGCCGAACTGGCTGCACGCATCATCCAAAGTGCGTGCCTCAACTGTGTTGGCTTCCAGACTGACTTTGTTGACGCATGCAGAGCAGCTAGCGGGGCTTGCTTCTAAACTCGCGATAACTAGCGCGCTGCGTGGGTCATGGCATCACAAGAACAGGTCTCTTCTAGACCGATGCTGCTTTTGGGCCCACATGGTGCCTGTCTAACGAATGGGGTTGTGCGAAAAACGCGTGCGCAAACGCATGGAGGCAAAAACCCGGCGGACGAGTCACTTGTTTGCGTCATGTGCCTGACGATACTCCCTTGCCTCTGCTTCGGACCACGGAGGTGGCCTCAACCTGGCTGGGCATGGCGTTGAGTGCAGCCGGGATAGCGCAGCCCTTCCCTATGCGGGCGCTGTTCTGCGGTAGCGTTCTGCATTTGAGAAGGATTTGCGCTTACCTGCCTCTGGCAATTCCGGCTTGAAGTCGAAGAATACAAATACAAACCACGACCACCAGCATTATGATGCGTCTACGGCTCCAAAGGAGTGAATGATGGCTGAGCACAAAAGGAAGTTTGCACAGCTGGTCGGGTGTCGGTTCGTTCAGTACCGTTCAGTGTCACGGGTGGTAATAGCGTACTTATATGTGTCGTAGGCTTTGCTGTGTGGTCGGTGTTGTTTTTTCGTCATTTTGCTGTCCTTGGCGTTGTGGTTGTGCTTGTGATCGGTGTTGTGGTGGTGGTTCTTGTTGTGTGTTGTGGTTGTGGTTGTCGTCGTCGTTGTTGTTGTGATGCGATCTCAAGAGTAGTCTTTCAGGAGGGAGTCCCCGACCCAGCCGTACAGCAACAGTCACTGGCTCCATCCCGTTTACAGAGCGTTATCAAATCCAGTTTTCGCTTATGTCTTGGGCAAGCATCCCAATACTCAATACTGCCCACCACCCGGAACTAACCCGGCCCCAAACCCGAGGGCCGAGATGCTGCGCAGGTCAGCCCGCCCGAAACAGAGCAGTACTGCCTGAAGTTGTAGCATGGTTGTTATCCTCGGAGGCAACATAGAGGGTGCACTTTAGACTTTAGGCCCCATGACCGGGCAAAAGCATGATCCTGGAGCTTTGAGGGCCGCATTACGGCCCAAGGCCCGAGGCCGCCGCAGCCCCCCGAAACCGCATCCCCAGCGGCCCAGCCATGCCAAGCCATGCCCAAAGCCCCTTGAGAGGGGAGAGGAAGCAGAGCCCTTTCTTCGGGTTTCGATCCTCATGGATTCCGGTCAGACACCCCTTCGCAGAGCCGGCAGAAGCGAAATACCGAAGCAATGGCCGGTGCAACCGTGTCCCTTGATGCTCATTCGGCACTGGCGATCCTTCCGCCGGATGAGCTGCTGACAGAGGCGGCGAAGGGAGCCCTAAGTGTCTTTCAGGAAGGCAAACCCGGAGAATCGGTGAGAAGGCCCAAATCGCAAGGTTGCTTCAAGCCGGATGTGTCTTCACTTGGAAGGTGCAGGCAGTGCGCCAGCAGAACGACAAGGCCTACGTCCGATGGCCGCAGGCAATCCTCCTTTCAAAGGGTTTCGATTTTTGTCCGACGGAGTCCTTTGAAACTTAACCGCTGGCTCCTTGCAGGCGCATCTACGGGTTCTCTGGCCCTTCCTGCCCGTGAGGACTGTCAGTTGGTCCCAGGCTCATGCTCCAATCGTCACAGAAGTGGTGAAGGCCAATTCGACACAACAGCACTCGAGGCAAAGCGGCGGCACAGCCCAAACTCTTGCAGAATCTCTACCTCAAGCCAACACTGGTTTACAAGAGGTCATGTCGTAATGTACGCGAAAGTCTTGAGTCTTGAGCTGGGCGCAGTTGAGGACGGCCCTCCCGCGGCTGGAGCAACTCAACGAGAAGCTGCCCGGCAAACGCTAAAAACTGCCTGCTACCCGAAGATATAGCCAGCAGGTGCAGGCCCAAGGGTAGACCACATGATGTAGCTTGTCATCTTGTGGTTTCCGCACATGATTCTGCCTGTGGCGACAGAGAGGGGAAGACGATGATCATGCTGCTGATGATGAAGCGGAAGAAGATGATGATAAGGAGGTGAAGATAAGGGCTTTATAAGTTTCTTCCAAGCATTCTGTAACCTGTGCGGTATGAGGATAAAGAAGCCTCGTTTCTCAAGATGTCGAGCTCGGCAGATTTGGCCTGCATCATGATTTCAATGCGACGGTCAACATCTTGATCGTCTAATTCTGCTGCAAGCTCACCAAAAGTCTTACCACGTGGATCAAGCGAAGATTGGCATCGAGTCCCCAATACTTTCGAAGGAATTTGCATCTTGCTCAAAAACCTTGGGAAGCGTTGTGATGCCTTCCAATCATGGTATTGTGCATTCATACCTTCAAGGTGGTCGCGGGCGGCCCACAATGCATTTAGGCTTCGGCAGTGTTTGTCATGAAACTGAAATAATGTTTGCTGCAAGGCTCGATTCAAAGACTTGAAGTTGAACGAGAACGTTGAATCTGGTTCATCCATGGCCATCTCGAGCTCGCGATCCGCATTTGTCTCGAAAATATTAGCTCGTTCAGAAATCCATGTGTCAACAGAAGATCCTCGGCGAGCTTGCCTCCACATTGTGATAGCTCTCGTGTAGAAAAGAAGTTGCAGAAAGCAATATGGGATCACGGAGCGCGCGCTCGGCAAAGTAAGCTTGTTTTGGACAAGCTGTGAACAGCGTGCGGATCAAAAGCAGGGAATATTTCCACTACGAATTTCCAGTGACCCAGGTATTCACCACACCTGGACGTAGCCTCGCT